CCCCCCCCCAGGGCTGCTCACCCGCCTCGTGTCCCCCGCAGGCTGGTGTCGGGCGCTGGAGACATCAAGCTGACCAAAGATGGCAACGTGCTGCTGCAGGAAATGGTGAGCCGGGCCTTGGGCGCGGGGGGTGGAAACCCTGGGCAGGCGAGAGGGGATTTAGGGAGGCAGGAGCCTGCTCGTATTCCCTGGGGTGCCTGTGGCTGAGGGGGGGGGCGGCCTCTGCTGTCCTGGCCTGCATTCCTGTGTTGTTTTGCCCTGTGCACTGAGACGCGGGTGTCCCCTGGGAGGAAGGTAAATCAGCACATCTTGCATTTCTGTATGTAACCTAAGGACGTGTCTAGTTGTGTGAGGTTTGGCCAGACAGACATGATGCTCAAGGCTGGAACACCAGATGCACTATTTAGTAGAGGAACTGGCAAGAAACTAACCTAATGTTCTTTAGCTTCCTAAGAATGAATAAAGCACACTGCCAGAGGGACAGCAAAGCATTTAGGGTATGTACAGTGTGGATCATGCAGGGACTCCCTAAATTAGCTCTAAAGGTGCTGCTGTTAGTGTCAGCAACAGTCTAGTTGTGATGGTGCATCCTCAGCCTAAAGGAGAAAAGGGCTCTCTCGAGTTCACAGTGAGCTGAGGACTAGTTAGGCTTTTGGTACTCAACAATTGTGTGTATAGAGGTGTAGTCTGAGGGAGGAATAGTGTAACATGGATTAATTCCATCAACTTGCTGTCCAGGTGAGTGTTGTTGAAGCATCAGCTAGTCCTTAAATATTTTGGTTAGCTGGTTTTGAGGACTGCTGACTTCCTGTGCCAGTGCAGAGAGACTCATTGCTCAGTTTCTTCCTTTCAGCAAATCCAACACCCCACAGCGTCCTTGATAGCAAAGGTAGCAACAGCACAAGATGACATCACTGGAGATGGTACCACCTCAAATGTCTTGATCATTGGAGAGCTCCTAAAACAGGCAGATCTCTACATTGCTGAGGTATGTCTGCAGTGTTTCTTCTGCAGGTGGACAAGTTAAAAGCTCCTTCTGAGCCCATTTGACTTGTTTGATGCTAAATACTCCTAAGTCAAACATGAAAATTAACATGTATTTTTGCTTAAAATGTGTGTGTTGCAGGACTTGTAAAATGGGGAAAAGCTCGAGAGGGACATGTAAGATTTGTTCAAAACCACTTATTGTGGATACTGCAGCTTTTAATAACCTGCTGTTACTGCTGTTTGTTACCTTTTTTACTTGTGTGTTAAGAAGGATATTTCCTTGAGAGCAGGTATTTTGGGTGAGCTACAGGATAGACATTGATCCTGCACAGGGAACACCCAAGTGTGCTCTGTAGTTCCCTTGGTTTCAATCCTGTGCTAGAACAAGTTGTACTTTTCCTCTGCATTGGAAGGATTTGCATTCCTTTTACATGTATTCAGAAGGACAGTACATTTTCTTGTCTCTGTAAGATGCATTTTCCCAGTGTTGTTACATGGAGTGTTGAAACCACAGGTTCTGTTTGTCAGAAAGTACCATTTGTCTTCTGTTGTCCAACCATTTCCCTCCTTCCCTTGCATTAGGGTTTGCACCCTAGAATAGTTGCAGAAGGATTTGAGATCGCAAAGGAAAAAGCACTTGAAGTTTTGGAGCAGGTCAAAGTATCCAAGGAGATGGACAGGGAGACCCTTATGGATGTTGCCAGGACATCCCTCCGTACCAAGGTGCACACTGAGCTCGCTGACATCCTGACAGAGGTGAGTGTCACCCCCTTCTGCCTCTCCTTGTGTGAAGTGCTCCAGGTTGTGATTGTTACTGAGTGAAGGGTGGATGGAGAGACGAGAACGTGCACTTTGGAAGACTAATGGTCCTTTTGGGGCTTTTCCCCTCCCCTCTGTTCCAGGCTGTGGTTGATTCTGTTTTGACAGTCAGAAAACCTGATGAGCCCATTGACCTCCACATGGTAGAGATTATGGAGATGAAGCACAAATCAGAAACTGACACAACGTGAGTATGAGTGTCCTTGAGCTTCAGTTTGATGGTGTCCAAGGTTTGAGGAGTCTGTGGTGTCTGGTTTTCTTCTTTGAAGTATCCTAAAGCTACCACTGGAGACGTTACTGGGGAATGGGTGGAAGAAGGACAGGAATACAGATTGCAGCCAGAAATACCTGGACAGCAGAAGTTTCCCAGTCACTGAGCTTGATTCCCTGATGAGAGTTTGGAATAGCAGAGAGCAAGGCTGACTTTGCTTTGGAATAAATACTTTATTTTCTAGTAGTAGTGTCTGAGGCTCCACTGTGCTTGAGGCTCATGTCTGTTCATCAAAAGTACAAAATAGCATTTGGTAGATGGAGGCTGGGTTATTGGATATTCCACAGACTTGACATTTACCTGAGTGGCATGGATGAATTCTGCAGTAGCTTTCCTCAGTAGCTAATGCAGTCAGACACTATGCCAGAATAAATTCCCATTCCACACTCTGGTGTGCTTCTTTCAGTGAGCATGGCCTGGGAGGTGGGGCACAGAATTGTGGTCAGCTCCCAGCACAGTTTGTGTTTGGCCAGTTGTACTGTCAATTCTCTGACTGGTCTGCACTTCTCTCAGGTTTGTCTTCACTGTGTGTTAAGTTGACACATAAAATGCTTCTTAATCTTTCAGGCTGATTAGGGGGCTGGTTTTGGATCACGGTGCTCGTCATCCTGACATGAAGAAAAGAGTGGAAGATGCTTATGTTCTCACTTGCAATGTGTCCCTAGAGTATGAGAAAACGTAAGTACAGAGCAACAAGGTGAGGAGCAGAAAATGCTCCTGTCTTAGAAGCCTTGGGTTTAAATTTGGCTTAAATAAGAACTGAAAGGACTGCACAGACTCTTCTAGAGCCAGGCAGGTGATGTGGACAAGGTGTCACTCCTTCTGCAGCCCTTTTTTGGAAGAGTGAAGCTGGTGGCTGAGAAAACCCCTTAAAGGCAGGGCTTCATGCTGGTTTTTATTCTGTGTTTTGTTGGAGAAAGGCTGGAATACCTTTCCTTCTTTGCCCTAACTTTATATTTTAGAGTGAACATCTAAATATACTTCAGAGTTTACTGAATTCCAAATGGTAAAGCTCTGAACCTGGAGAGCAGGAACAGCTACATGTTGTGTGCTGGTTTTCTGGGGAGTTTCTTCTTTGTTCTGTTTTTATTATTTATGTTTAGAATGTAGCTGGAAGGATCGATTCTTTCCTTGTCTTACTACTTTTTTGTTGGTTTTCTTTCCTCCAGAGAGGTGAGCTCTGGGTTCTTCTATAAAAGTGCTGAAGAGAGAGAGAAGTTGGTGAAAGCAGAAAGGAAGTTCATTGAAGACAGAGTGAAGAAAATTGTAGACTTGAAAAGAAAAGTCTGTGGTGATTCTGATAAAGGATTTGTTGTGATCAACCAGAAGGTGAGATGAAGGGTATAACTGAGTAGAAAATAATTTTAAAAGCTGGCTTTCTTGGCCAGTTTGGCTTGCTGTGTACGGTTCTTCAAACAAATGGATCAATTTAGGCTGATGTGGTTTTGAGTACATGCATAAAGTTCTGCATTGGGATCTTCATTGAGCCCTGAGGAAGAGCTCGCTCATTAGTGTCAGACAGAGAGGATGGTTTTAGCTTTTTCTTTATCCTGATGGTCACTTTCTTCGTTTCTAGGGAATTGACCCGTTTTCCTTGGATGCACTTGCAAAAGAAGGAATAGTTGCTCTGCGGAGAGCTAAAAGGAGGAACATGGAAAGGTCAGTTCCTGGGAAGAGGAGGGTTTCAAATAACTTGCTCTTCCAAACACAAACAGGGAGTCAAAAGTCTGGCTTGAATCCAGCACCTTCAAGGACTTGCACTAAAAGTCCACTTTGATCTGTCCAGCTCTTAGTGGTGTAGCTCAGGGTAGTTTGCAAACCATGGAATGCCATAGGAATGAGCTGTCACGCTCCAGATATAGACACCTATAGAGGAGACTTGATTCTACAGGCCCCTTGTGAAGAGCTCTTTCATAAGCAGAAGCAGACTGTGCCGGGCTCAGGCAGCATGCTGGTGAGGTGGGATTTCCCACAGGGCAAGTGCTGAGCTGTGTGTGTTCCCTCAGGCTGACCCTGGCATGTGGTGGCACAGCCATGAACTCGGTGGAGGATCTGAGCCCCGACTGCCTGGGCCACGCGGGGCTGGTCTACGAGTACACGCTGGTGAGTGTGGCTGGGCTGGCAGGACACCTCACCTGGGCTCTGGTTGTGCTGGAGCGTGGGTGTCCAGTGTTCTGGGAGCTGGGCTGGAGCAGGGATAAGTGTCCACTTGTATGTGAGCCTCTACCTGGGTATTTGTTCTTGTCCAAGTGTGTTTTCCTGTTACTTCTGTGTTACACTTTTGATGTCTTACAAGTGGAGAAAATGGAAATCGGGTTCCTCTGCTTCTCCTCACTTCTACTGTTGGTGCAGAACTGAATCTGACACCATTTTTTATGTTGTGTGTATGTTGATGAAGCAAAGGCACAGCATGAACATGTACCCCTGTTGTGACAGGGTGAAGAGAAGTACACCTTCATTGAGAAGTGTGACAACCCCCGCTCAGTCACCCTGCTGATCAGGGGCCCCAACAAGCACACGCTCACTCAGATCAAGGATGCTGTGAGGGATGGGCTGCGTGCTGTTAAAAACGCCATTGAGGATGGTAAGGCTGCTCTGCTCTGCCACATGGAGCATTTCTGTTGGAATTACCTCAAAATGAGGGAATTTTCTGTTGGCTTCCTTGGTATCTGATGCACTCAGTGTCAAGTGTATCCCAGTGTGAAGTGCTTTTACTTACTGCACCTCCTATTTTACAAGTAATTGATAATGGTGTAAGTAACCTGATCAGCTACAATTTGTCTTTTTAAGAGTGAGGGAAGAGACCAAACCGTGTTGAGTGTTTAAGTTGGAATAGGTGCTTATTGTGGAGCCTGAGCATCGTGTTTCCCTGCAGGATGCGTGGTCCCAGGAGCAGGGGCACTGGAGGTGGCTGTAGCCAGTGCCCTTGTGAAGCACAAACCGAATGTCAAAGGGAGAGCCCAGCTTGGAGTTCAAGCTTTTGCTGATGCTCTGCTCATTATTCCTAAGGTATGAGGAACTCAAGTAAAGTGGCTTGAAAGCATGCCAAGACCCACTGATTTTTCTGCTGGAGTTCTCATGATTAACTACACAAAATGATGTCTCTTCTCTCAGGTTCTTGCCCAGAACTCGGGTTATGATCCCCAGGAAACACTCGTGAAGGTTCAGGCAGAGCATGTGGAGTCAGGGCAGCTCACTGGGGTTGATCTGAACACTGGTAAGAACTTCCTCAAATAATGGGGTGATGCTGCACCAAGAAACTATCGTGGCTCAGCTCTGTTAAGAACAAAGTTGCTCTGGATGCAGCAGCTGTGCCTTGTGTCATAAGCTGTGCGTTGGCAGGGGTCCTGTTGCTGCAGTCAGCCTGGGTGTGCTGTGGTGCAAATGTTTTGGGAAGATGAAGCACACAGTTAGCAGTGTTGTGCAGTGTCTGACTCCAGGGGTTAGCAGAAAGCCCTCCTCTCAATGATGTGAACTGGTGATGTTAAGGACTGATGTACTTCTTTTCTAGGTGAGCCAATGGTGGCTGCAGCAGCTGGAATCTGGGATAATTACAATGTCAAAAAGCAACTGCTTCATTCATGGTAAATGTTACAGTATTTTCACTTTAAATAGCTGTGGGTGTTTATCAATTATCAGTGTGGAATTGAAGGGCCCCAGGTAGAGGAAAGTGTCTTGTAAGGCAGAAATGAAGCCGAGTTGTCTCTGAAGTGTGTGGAAGTGGCTGTTCTGACAGTGTTTGTCTCACCTTTCTAGCACGGTCATCGCCAGCAACATCCTTTTGGTGGATGAGATCATGCGAGCCGGGATGTCCTCTCTGAAAGGCTGAGCTGGAGCTGCCAGGGCAGCAGTGGCTCTGGTGGTGCCCCAGGGGATGTCCCAGCAGCGGGAGCTCCTCTGTAATGAGCAGCCCCTCTTTGGTAAACATGGCCTCTCAAAGTATTAGCAACTGTTGAAAGATTTGGCTCTAAAAACAGCAGTTATTTATTTTTCATTTCACTGAAGTGAACAACTGAGGTTGATTTCCTTTTTTACCCAATAAACTGTTCTGTTCTGTGCTCTGCAGGTGTTGGTTATTCAGAGCTGTAGCTTCCTGGGGTTGGGGTCTTGAACTGACCCGGGAGAGGTGTTTGGGTTTGCAGGAGGGGAAGAGGCTGCTGTAGGTTCAATAATTGTCCTAAGTCTAGTTCTGCTTCTATGTTAGATCATTTAATCCCAGACTGGTTTGGGTTGGAGGGACCTCTAGAGATAATCTACTCCCCCCCAGCCCCCTGCATGGGCAGGGACACCTCCCAGCAGCCCAGGCTGCTCCAAGCCCCATCCAACCTGCCCTTCAACACTGCCAGGGATGGGGCAGCCACAGCTTCCCTGGGCAGCCTGGGCCAGGCTCTCCCCACCCTCGTAGTGAAGAATTTCTGCCCAATATCCAATCTCTACCTCCCTTTCAGTTTTAATCCATCCCCCTCATCCCATCCCTCCCTGCCCTTGTCCCAAGCCCCTCCCCAGCTTTCCTGGAGCCCCTTCAGGCACTGGGAGCTGCTCTGAGGTCTCCCTGGAGCCCCTTCAGGCTGAACCCCCCAACTCTGAATTGGAGTCTCCTTCCCTAGACCCCACAGTGACCATACGAGCCACTTTGATACACAGAAAACCCAAGACCTGA